GGGCATCAACACCACGAATTACTCAGGGGAGGCACAAGGAATCCCTCTGTGAAACAGCCTGGCAGAGCTGATGGCCCCTTTGCTGCCAGCCCACACCCATTCCTGGGCCCTGAATCTGGGCCTTGACACCTGCTACTCCCAGCCCCCTGAGAAGTATAGCAAAGCCCCAACTTCAGGCCAGTGAGTCCCACAAGAGGAGTTACAGGTTTAGTCTGAGTCACACCCAGCTACAGATCCCAGCTCCTTTATTTGGTAAATTGTAAAACAGATCTGACTCGCAGAACCTACCTTGGACCTGTAATGGTCCAGGGAGGTACCTGAGAAGCACCTAACCCAGCCCCTGTACACAGGAAGTGCTGAGCAAGCTTCAATCGACAGAGACCCCCCCTCACACCGGGAACTCCCACCTAGCTGAGACCTTGGAGACCCCCCACACCCACACTGGGAACTCCCATCTAGCTAAGATGCTGGAGACCCCCCACACCCACACTGGGAACTCCCATCTAGCTAAGACGCTGGTGAACTTTTCTGGCAAAGACAACAGGATGCAGTTACCCCGATAGAGTGCAAGCCAAGAGCTCCTGGTAACCATGGACTCCATCGCCATCCACACCTGGATGAGACTGAGCTTCTGCCCGTCTCCGTGTCCTGCATTATGGACCGGGGGAAAGGCCTCCCATGTGCTGAACACATGCAAGGTGCTAGAGCAGAGCACTGTCCCTGTTCTCAGCTCACACTCCAGCCGGGCAGACAGACACCTTCATCACGGACTGCACTGTGGCGTGAAAGCTGGAAGCCCAGGAAAGGTGTGAACTGAAGCAGGGCAGAGGGAGCAACGGGAGGTCAGGAAAGGCTTTCCAGGCAAGGGAGAGGTAGAGAGGCAACCCCAGCAGAGCAGGCAGCACGGCACCGGCGCACGGCCTTTCCGCTGTGATGGAAGCAGAGGGAAGGATGGGTGTAGATGGAGACGAGAACCGAGTTTCTCAGCTGATGTTCCCCATTTTCCCGATGAAGTAGGAGGGTGTGGTCATTGCTGAGTGTGAGCGAGGTGTGGAGGGGCAAACTGAGAGAACTGAGAAACTCCAACAGCTGGAGATGAGGAAGCCCATGGGCACGGAGCCCGAGACAGTTCTTCACCAGGTCTGAGGACCCAGGTAAGACAACAAACCTGTAGTTGCACTAGTCCATAGTTGTGACTTCTCAAGTTGTCCGAGGAGGAAAGGTAAGCAGCTCACAGTGGGGTTTGCTAGGGAAAGCCAAGTAAGGGCATCAAGGACCGGAGCGGAGCCGTGCCCACCTCCTCTCTTGGCTTCGGCAGTTCTCATCCTTAACCCACCCAGTATTCTCCTCTTGTGATGAATACTCTGTTAAGACCCACCTTTACTGTCCTGAGCTCATCTCAATCAACTTAACTCGTATTTTCAAAAACAAATCTCTGTAATGTTCTAAGGATAATACAAAAATGGAGAATTAAATCCATAGTAAAATGTGGACTGCAATTGTAAATTGCCAGCAAAACTACAAGAAGAAATGTAATGAGGTAGTCAGACACTCACAGCTAACTGCAACTGTCCACAGAATCCCCAGGACAACACAGGTGCAGTCACAGACTGACCACGGTAGTCTGTACTCAGCACTCAAAAATACCAGTACAAACCAAACTACTGCATCAGGATAGATATAAATGGCTTTTCTTTTTAAAAAATATATTTGAAGTCTTAGGCTCTCAGAACAGAGCAAGAATTGTCTCAGGAAACCAAGCACCTCAGAGATGGAGAAAATAGCAAATACATCTTTAAAAAACAAAAAAAAAAACAATCACTGGTAGTTTATCGGCTTAGCTTCCGTGGACACCACTTTCCTATGACCAGAAAGTTGTGGGGGTGGGGGGCTACCATCAATGGTGTTCCTTTCCAATCTGGAACACAATGATGTGCGTGGGGGGTTTTGACCGCCTCCCTTACCCTAGTGCACCGTAACGTCATTCATTGGGCTAGATGGTGAGGAACGAGCCCTTCAGGGGCAAGTAGCCCAGGGTTAAAGGCCGCCGAGGCCAACCCACTGGCACTCCTACAGGGCTCGTTTATGTACCACGGCAGCGTTTTCTTCCTACCCATGGTGTTCCGTTGTTGAGGACTTCTCTTCAGAATGTTCTGTCCATCCTTATTCACACGTGAAACATCCCTGTACGTGTCGGATCTGAATCCAGCTCTCACAACAGGGCCTGGATATCGGGTCTCCGACCAGACTGCACCAGACTCATGACATGAAGCCGTGTAGTGTGGTCAGCTTTCCAGTCACTTCTGGCTGGGCTAGTGTTCCCATAATTCCTGGAGCCGCCACCCCACACACTCTGCTTCCCCAAGGTGGCTGGGAGGTGGGAGGAAGGCGGCAGCAGAGGCTGTGATGTGCTGGATGTCAGTTAAAAGAGGAGCCCTGAGAGAAACAAGGTTACTGGGGGTGCAGAGGGTTGGTTTGGGGAGCAGACTGAGAATGTAACAGAAGAGAGCCAGGATGTCCAAGTCAGGAAAGCCTGGGGGTTCTTGTTCTGTCTTCTCCTACGTCAAGTGAGGACTGATAATCCTTACACACAGCAACCTCAGATGGTTCGGGAGGAGAGGATTAGGAGTCACTGTGAGAGAAGACATTTTGTTAAGCAATTAAAAAAACAGAACAGTTGCTGTGGAGCCGATTCTGACTCTTGGTGACTGTGTGTGACACTGTAGAACTGCGCCCCACAGGGTTTGCAGCAGTGGCTGAGTTTCCAGCAGCAGACTACAGGCTTGTCTTCCAAGGTGCCTCTGGGTGGACTCAAACCCCGAACCCTTCAGGTGAAAGTGTTAACACTGCACTGCCCAGGACTGCCAACACCTTACGAGGGAGCTGCTGCTACTGTCGCTATCTCTAAGGAAGCAGCAGAGCTGTAGGGAAGATGGGCTTTGCAGGCCTCAGGGCCACAGGTCAGTGAGCACACAGTCACCCTGCACTATGGATTCTGCAGTGGGGACCCAACTTGCTGAGACATGTGTCTGAGGACTAAGAAGAGGAGTTGGAAAAACCTCTACGTCTGGGAAGGGATTAGCTTCTCTTGAGAGTTTCTGAGAAATGTTTCCAAGAATTTCCCCAAAATATGTTCCACTAGACAGCACCAAAAAGGAATTTGAAGTCAGTGGAGGAAACAGGCTTCCTCACCCAGGACATCTCCGAGGTCGTAAGACTGAATTTACAGTAGAGGATATGGGATGCAGGGCGTGCCAAATTCCCTCAACAACAGAACTCCTTCCACAGAGCAGCTGAGTGGGGTTTCAAGAACTGTGTTTTGGGAGATGCTGCATTTACAGCTCTCCAGCTGGGCATCCTGTTCTGTGAGCACAGAGACCAGGGAAACGAGAACACTTTGTGAACATCCGGTCACCGGCAGGTGGCGGCTGGCCGTTTTAGAAAAAGGATCCGTTTTCACCACGGTACTGAAATAACCACACTTGCCTGAACCCTCCTTATCCCAACCCCCCAAAATCCAGCAGCTGTGCAACCCCACACTCCAGTCATGTACATCCAATCTACACTTTTATTTTCCTTCTAAAACGTGCTATTTCCTCTCTGAACTTCAGTATCAGTCCAAGACCCTCACCGCCCTTTTCGAAACATGACTACACACACACACACACACACCCCACCACCACACACCCCCTACACTACCACCACCACACATACACACCACCACCACACCCCGATCACCACCACACGCACACACCACTACCATACCCCCCCACTACCACCACAGGCACACACCACCACCACGCACACACCACCTAACACACACACACACATCCCACTGGCACACACACCCCCACTACCCAACCACCCACCCACCCATTACCACACACATATTACCCTCCCACCACGTGAAATAGCCTTGGTGACTCATATGTAACAAATATTGACACGGGGGGAAAAACACATGTTGAAATGTATTAGAATCAGAACCTGTACAAAAAAAAAAAAATTAAAATATAACCTGAAACTGTTCAAGTTCAAAAAGGCTAGTCAAGTCCTTTTCTCTTGCCAGGAGAATGCCATCGTCAAAGGGCTCTGGGTCACCAGCCAAGGAGGGACGGAAAGACAGACAGAAGCAGCAACAGGTCCTTCACCAGGCAGAGGGGCCTCATCCCCACCGCTGGCCAGCTGGGAGTTACAGGTCTCAGGAGAGCACATGCTTGCAGGCAGCCCCGTGGGCAGCTGGGGCCTGTACACTGAAAACAGGTCTGCAGCGTCAGAGGCAGCAGGAGAGTGGCCAGCAGAGACCACACAGCCCGAAAAGCACTCTGCCGCCCAGCAGACCTGCACTCCCTATCTGTGCGCCGATGCCGGTTAGTCAGCCTGGCGCTCCCAAATAACGCAAGATGGGAGCTGGGCTTCGGCAGTTTAGTAAACACGGCCCAGTGCCACACCCCTCCACGGCCCAAATCAGAGCTGCCACCGGCAAAAGGCAGGAGAGGGGACCCAAAAGCATTTGATACCTGGCTAGAGATGGCCTGCACCATTGTGGGGTCTGTGGTACATGGGGCTGGAGAAGGCCCACTCCCCTCCTCATCAGAGAGGGGATGCCTTCACAGTCCTCCCTATGGGCAGTAAAGCTGCCTCTGGCCTATGAATAGCCTGGCAAAGTGACATGACCACTGCATGGAGCCAAAGGGAAACCAGGAAGGAGACAAGCCCTTGGACGGAGACAAGAAGCCCCTAGAGGGCAGCTGGGCAGTGTCTGACCCTGTCGGATGGCAGCGGTGGAGCCCCTGAGTCTGAAGGGAACAAAGGGGAAAGGAGGGAGGGGGTGAGGGAAAGGAGCCGTGGAGTTTCTGGAACAGTACCAACAGGGGGGGCGCTGGTGGGGGACGGGCAGGTCTGGAACTCACTGAAGGTGGAGAGGGGAGGAAATAGGCCCTTGGTGTCCCCTCCCCACTTGACCCAGGCCTGGTGAGTGCCAGCTGCCCCAGCCGGCCCTAGTGGCGGCTGGAGACCAGACCTTTCACTTTGGACATCTTCTTGGTGGGCTGCCTCTGCTCAGCATGGGGGGGACACTCCCGTTCAGCCAGCTGTTGCTCCATCTCCTGAGCCGAGGAGGAGGCGGTGGCTTTGAGCGTCTTCTTGATGTTGGTAACCTGGAGGGAGAAACACAATCAGTGTGCTGAGCCTGGAAGCACCCAAAACTCACCACCACTTGTTCTCAGTAGGATGAGGACCACAGAGAAGCAGCCACCAGCCTCTGCAAGAAAACCTCAAATTATCTTCAGCAATGCAAAGAAGGAGCAACCGGGGCCACTCATGAAGACAGGTGGAAAGGAGTCAATTGAGTGAAAACAGACAGAACTAATGCTTTCTCAGCTGAAAAGAGGATAAACAACACAGACCATCTGGCAACAATGCCGAATTGCAGAGGGTAAAAAAAAGTGATGCTTAAGGTCCTTAGTGAAACAAAAAGCCTGAGAATTCTATACTCAGCAGTTGCTCATGTTAAAACCACAGCTATCTTTACAAGAACTTTGGGAATACAGGTTCATGAGCCCTTCTGGAATAAACAACTAGAGGATGAAGTTCAGTCAACCAAGAGGCAAAGGAAGAAAATGTAGCAAAAGAACCAGCAAAATGCTATCACAGCGTATCGACTTCACTTAACAGAGAGGCCAAACACGTGGACGCTCCTGAGCGTTTTCCCGTCAGATCTCACGTCCTCTGTGACACCCAGGTCCCAGTCTCTGAGGGAGGCTCCACAGTCCTGAATTAGTTCCCAGCCAGTTACAGATGGTGGCGGTCCTTCTATGCTGACTTCAGCATACTTTCCTGAATATCCATGAAGGACGTATTCCTGGAAGTGAGCTTTCCAAAGCAAAGGGTACGCCTTACTATATTGAATAAGTACTGCTCAGGAGCTCTGGTGGTGCAGCAGTCAAAAGCATTCAGCGGCTAACCAAAAGGTCGAGGGTTCAAACCCGCCAGCCACTCCAGGGGAGAAAGATGTGGCAGTCTGCTTCTGTCAAGATGACAGCCTTGGAAACCCTATGGGGTGGTTATACTCTGCCCTACAGAGTCACTGGGAGTCAGAATTGACTCAATGGCAGTGGGATGGGTTGGGTTTGGGCTATCTTGTCTTCTGAAAAGTGGCCATACCAACTGCCAAAGGGGTAGGGAGGCCACATCTTCTGACCTCCTCTAACCCCACAAGAGGAAGACAGAATCACCATCAATAGCCCAAGGCCTATTCCTGTGAGGCCAGACATGCTGCCTCCCTCCAGTCCTTTCACCAACCCTGACACAAACCGTTCTTCCTGAAGCTCCCACCACCTTTCTGCTGGGTTCGATAATTTGCTGCAGTGGCCACACAGAACTCACAGATTATGGAGTTTATTATGGAAGCACGACACTACAAGTTCAAGTTCAGGAAAACCGCTCAGTCTTTCTCAGCCCTTCTCTCAGCCAACAGTCTCTCACAGTCTCTTTCCCAGCAGCATGTCCTTCTCAGCCAGCAGTCAGAGAGACTCCTGCTGTCTCTAGGAGGGCTCCTTTTGAGCCTGGCAGAGTGGCCAAAATGACCAATCACAACATCAGAATTCTAAGCACCTGAGAGAGAGCGAACTACTCAGAACACTGCTTTGTAGCATTCTCAACAGAAATACCCCAGGTGGATAACTTTAACAATCAGGAGCTCCTCAGTTGCTCACAGCAAATTCCACCACAGAGTTTACAAAGACTTATGGCTAAAAAAGCCATACCAGGTAATTTACTACACCGCAGGCCACCCACTACCTGGCTTTTCTAGCCACTATCCCTGTTACACTTCAAAAATTAACATCCCCTTCATCTTCAGTTTAAGAATAACCACACTCATGAAAGTATGTAAGCCAGACACTTCATGCCTTTATCTTCACCCAATTTAGATAGCCAATTTCTAATTTGCCCATCCCTATCAAATCAGTACTGTGAGGAGACAAGCTTGGTCCTTTCTCTCTGAAGAATCTTCTGTTCTGCTTGGAAACTTTGGGCATCTGCTTCCATAAACAAGCAAAGTCCAGCCCAGTGCAAGCCACCAAATTGCAGCAACTTAACACCAGTTCAGTGTCAAACATCTTCCTCTTCATTTGGTCGGGTTCTGGTCAGCTCAGCCTTAGCCATCCCAGCTAAGTCGTGGGGACCAGCTGCCAAGTTTGGGAGTCACACTCTTCCCTTCACTTCAGACCAGCCAGCACCTTCTCTCACACCTTCAGTCCTCAGGAACTATTTCAATGCCCATAGGCTCACAACTCCTTGCACTTCAGACCAGCCAGCCCTTCCTCTCATCCCCAGCCTCCGTGGCCTAGGTAAAAAAAAAAACGCAAACGCAACCACTGCCGTGGAGTCAGATCCAACCCATAGCGACCCCTCCTTGGGTTTCCGAGGCAGTATCACTATGGAAGTAGACTGACCAACCTTCCTTCCAGCCTAGGTCAAAGACTACCAATCTCAGTCCGTTTCTTCTTTGCTGCACTTCCCACAAGCCTACTGCTCGCTGGCTTCCTTTTAACTTTCAGTCCTGGAAGGGGTTTCTCTCATGGACCATGACTTTCCTGCCTTGATACACCCAAAGCCTATCTGCTTGCTGGAAATTGAAAAAGCCAAGCAGTTTTTTTTTTTTTTTTTTTTTGTAGGTCCTGT